ATATGATAATATTTCTGAAATTTAATTTTAATATAATATCAGGGATTCATATTGAAGAGAAATACTGAAGTTTTAAAGAATCTTTATTCTATGTGACAGTAGACATAGTGAGGATGGTAAATGAGTTCTTGTTTTAACAATGAAATTTATTTTATTTTCTGTTATGTAAAAAACTTTGTTGATAAAACATTAACATGTATGCATGTGCATAACTTCAGACAAGAAGATCAATTTGCTATCTTTGCTTCTGTGATTTTAAATGTTTTCATATTTAGGAAAATTAAAAGATTAAAAACAAAAGACACAATAATGTTAATTATCTCGTTGATATTTATAAAACTAATTTATACGATTTTGGTTCTGAAGGCTTTAAAAAGGAATGGAAAATATGTAAATATACAAGAAGTGATGGATCAGTGGACACTGCAGATGGGTTATCCTGTTATCACCATCTTGGGAAATACAACAGTGGAAAACAGAATAATAATTACCCAACAACATTTTATTTATGACATCAGTGCTAAAACTAAAGCACTTGAACCTCGAAATAACAGGTACCATACTCTTCTACACGAACAAAGTGCTTTTTTTATATTTTACTTTGCATTTTTAATATTTTAAAATGTATCGATAAGGAAATTTTGAAATGTGATAAACGAAATACAATTTCTGCTTTTTTTCTATTATTTCATGTTCATTTTTCTTTTATTCCAATTTACTGGACATTTTAACTCTCAAATTGATAACATTGTTTCAGAAGATATAATTTTAAATTATCATGGTGATTTACAAAAAAGAAATCTCCATGAATATTTCTTGAGTTAGATTCAAGAGTTGTGTTTCAGTGCCTTAAATGAAACAGAGCAAACTGAGAGATTTGTAAGTCAAATGAAAACAGAAACTAACAATTCAGAAAAAAGAATTAAAACAAGCAAAAATTCAAAACTAATGTCTCAAAGAAACTTTAAATAGATATCTAAAATAATCTAAATATTAATGCTACTAGGCATCACACTATGTTCTCTTTCTCTTATATTTAATGTTTGAAACCACTAAACAGATATCATACATAGACTTGATTTTTTTGTTTGTTTGTACATGCCGGGGATTGAACTCAAGACCTTGCACTTGCGAGGCAGGCAGCAACATCACTGAGCTATATGCCCGGCCCTAGACTCTTCATTTTAAAACTCTCATTTAATTACAAATCATTAAACAGTAGGATTCCTTTGTTTTCTATTTTGTTTTCTATTTTGTGTTGGATAGTAAAGGCTGAGCCAAAGAGTCATAGTAGAATTACATCAGTCAGCTTCATTTCTTATAAGATGCCTTGATAGGTGGTTGAGGTGAGTGGGTTGGGAAAGTGGTTACTATTAATAAATACAATAAGTAAAATGAGGTGATTGGATTAGGGTTCTTGTGCTGTGTCCCATTACCTTGGAAAATTGGGAGTCTAACTTTATCAATTTGCTTTGTTACACAGTTTGCTTTGTTATCTCTAAAAGGATCAAAAATCATTCCCAAATCTGCTACCACCAACTTTAGATATATAGAGAAGTGATTGAAACATTTATTAATGTTTTCTTTTGGCTATATGTGGATTCTGATTTAAGAAAGCAACATCATAAATCATACATATATATGTGTATGATTAAAACACATATATAAGATTAAAACATTTACAAGCTTAAATTATATACATAAAACATTATACATGATATCTTCCAAATATATACAGATTTCAAAGCACTGACTTGTGCCATCCAACTGGTGGACTCATGCAATACCATCTTCCCCTGCCACACTGTCACTACTGTCAGGGTCTGACTGTCACTGATTCTCTACCCAGCTCAGATTCCCCACAGCTGGCAAGTGCTGCTTCGAATCATCCCCTGTCTGGCCCCAGGCTAAACATGCTTAGGCATCAAGCCTGGCCTTGCCAGGAAATACATAAAAACTACTTGATGTGGCAAAGTGCAAGAGTGCTCAGCCCGACACCAGTGTTATGGATGCAGAAAAACAGGAAGGACACATAAATGTCAGAACACATTTTGAACTAAAATGCCTTGTCAATCTGTAACAGACAACAGCTGTACCAGCCATGAGAATTGCTCTGTAAAGGAAAACTATCCCCTAGGCTGCATAAGCATATATACGGTCTCCAGACCTTTACATTTGGTGGGATTAAAAATGTTATAGATGATTTTGAACTCTGAGTATTGGGCATATAAAATATAAAGAGGAAGGTAATGCAGGATGTCCTACTAGTCTCAAAAATGATGTTCTATCTATTTTGAAAGAATAGAGCTTTTATTTTATTATTTATTTTTCCTTAAATTCTTTTATTGGTACATTTTGGATATACAATACATTTACATTTATCATTGGGTACTTGTCATGATGTATCTTGGTTCTTATTTTTTCCCCATTCCCTGGCACTCCCTTCACCCCCTCCACCTCTCCCTATTTACAAAGTCTTTGCTTCCATTTACCTTTTTTCATATTTTTTCCTGTCCCTTCTTTCCTATCCCCTATGCCTCCCACTTCTGCTACCTTTTTGGACCTTTTCTTCCTATTTCACATTATCAATTATTCATTTTAATCCTTATTTACACTTTTAGTTTCTCATACCAGAGAAACTATTCAGTATTTACACATATGGATCCTATTTATTTCTCTTGAGTATGGCCTCGATGTGCATCCATTTAGCTATAAATGTGTCTAGTTTCTTGTTCTTTATGGCTGAGAAGTACTCCGTTTTATAAAAAAGCCACATCTGCTTTATCCAGGTGATGGACACTTGAGCTGTTTCCAAGCTTTAGCTATTACAAACTGTGCCGCTATAAACATGGGTGTGCATATATCCCTGTGGTATGATTCTTTTAATTAATTGGGGAAGGTACCCAGCAGAGGAATAGCTGGGTCAAGTGGGACCTCTAATCCTAGTTTTTGAGGTATCTCCATATTTATTTCCACAGTGGCTGCACATCCACCAACAGTGGAGAAGGGTTCCTTTCTCCCCACACCCCCGCCAGCATTTGTTATTGGTTGATTTCTTGATAGCAGCCATGCTTACTGGGATGAGGTAGAATCTCAGTGTTATTTTCATCGGCATGTCTCCAATGACCAACGATGTTGAACATTTTTTCATATGGTTTATTTGCTATTTCTACTTCTTTGTCTGAGAAATGTCTGTTCATTTCAGGTGCCCGTTTTTGGATTGGGTCTTTAAATTTTGAGGGTCTGATTTTTTAAGTTCTTTATATATTCTATATGGTAGTCCTTTGCCTGAGGTACTGCTGCTAAAATTTTTTTTCCCACACTGTAGATTGTCTCCTAGCTCTGTTGGTGGTTTCTCCTGCAGTGCAGAAGCTTTTTAATAAGATGAGATCCCAGTTATTAATTCTTTGTGCTAGTTCCCATGATACTGAGGTTTTGTTCATAAAGTCTTTTCCTATGCCAATGTCTTCAAGAGTTCTACCTAACTTATCTTCCAGCA